AAGCATGGGGTTGAGAGCTAATTGGGAATAGTGTGGATTCTTGAATGTTGTTTAGCTAAACTGACCACACACAGCTGCCTTCTGGATATTTATGTTTGTACCCAGACTAATGCTACTCTCGGCCTTAAGGGAAGACTCTTTCCAATGATTGGGAGGTGAAGGCAGATTCACGCCCCACCTACCCCTCATTGTTATACCACTTGCTCCTGTCAGGAAAAGACGAAATCATTGCCTTCGGTTGCATGTCTTCTGGTGGCAATGTCCACCCTAATCCAATGGTCACACAGATGGTCCTGGTCAACCTAACTTCATCACAAAGCAAAACCAAAAATGTAATACCAGGGAAAGAAGTGGTAGGGGTGAGTTGATAAGGATGCTGGAAAAGATGGAATGAAATCGGAATACATTATACACATGTGCACAACTGTCAACAAAATTAGTTTCCAACTCTCTGGCAAGGCCAAGATAAGTTCTACTTGTCACCAGTCAAGAGTTTTAAGTCTCCGTGAAGAACTCTTCTGGAGTGACAAAACACAAGCCCCTCGACGGCACAAGTTTTCACTCTCCTTTGTGTCTGTGTACATGTGTGTATTTATGTGGCGCTTAGAGGACAACTTCAGGTTCTTGAAGTACTGACCACCCTTTTATTATCTATTTATGTGCACTGGTGCTGTGTTTTTGTTGTAGTATTTTCAGTCACGTCTCCATTCTCTTTACCAACTTTTCTAATCCCCATATCCCTGTCCTAGTAAGTGGTATACTTGTCAAAGCTGGTCTCCAACAAGCCTGCATGTGTATCTCAGTGAGGGTATTGGAACCCCCTGGAACTGGAGTTACAGACAGGGGTGAGCTGCCGTGTGGGTGCTGGGAACTGAACCCAGGGCCTCTGGAAGAATAGCCAGTTCTCCCAACCACTAAGCCATCTCTATAGTCCTTATTCTTCTTTAAAGACATAAGCAGGGAACTCAAGTAAGCTAGGCTGACTGGCCAGAAAGTCCAGGAAATCTGCCGGGACTTCCAAGGACTAGGTGTCACAGTATACCTGGGTCTTTTACAAGGGTCCTGAGGATTGAGCTCATGTCCTTGCGCAAACACAACTCAGCTTTCACTCCAGTCCAGGTACAGATGATTCCTGTGCAGTGGAGAGCGAACTGACGTGACAGGAAGGCAGGCTCTGAGCGTTTCACTTCTTGAGGTCCATGGGAAGGAACGCGGTAGGCACAACCTGCTGCTAAGTCCACGGACAGGGTTTCTTTGTGTACCTCTAGCTGTCCAGGGTGGCCTTGAACTCACAGAGACACACCTACTTCTGCCCCGACTGTTGTGATTAAAGGCGAGCACCACCACTGTCCAGCGTGTTAGCATGAACAGACTTTATTGGATGATGTTCTTCCAGTAGACAAATTCGAGCGTTTCAGTAATAGCCACTTTTGGTTTCTAGTACTTATGTTCATGTCACTCTGCCCATGCTTTGTATCTACCCTTACATACAAACCCTGTGCTGGTTTGAACAGGAATGGCCTCTATAGACTCCCGTGTTTGAATGTTTGATCCATAGGGAGTAGCACTATTAGGTGTGGCCTTGTTGGAGGAAGTGTATCACTGTGGAGGGCAGCTTTGAAGTCTTAATTGCTCAAGCTATGCCTAGGGTGGCACAGTCTCTTATTACCTGTAGATCAAGGTGTAGAACTCTCAGTCATCTCTCCAGCACCATGTCTGCCTGCATGATGACAATGGACTAAACCTCTGAAACTGTAAGCCAGCCCAATAAAATGTTTTCTTCATAAGAGCTACCACGAGTGGGGCAATGGTAGTACAGGCCTTTAATCCCAGCACTCGGGAGGCAGAGGCAGACAAATCTCTGTTTGAGGTCAGCCTGGTCTATAAAGCGAGTTCCAGAACAGGCTCCAAAGCTACACAGAGAAAACTGTCTAGAAGGGCTGGAGAGATGGCTCAGTGGTTAGGAGCACTGCCTGCTCTTCCAAAGGTCCTGAGTTCAATTCCCAGCAACCACATGGTGGCTCACAACCATCTGTAATGAGATCTGGTGCCCTCTTCTGGCCCGCAGGCATGCATGCAGATACTGTGTACTTAATAAATAAGTAAATAAATCTTTAAAAAAAACTGTCTAGAAAAACAACAACAAAAGAGTTGCATGGTCATGCTGTCTCTTCACAGCAATAGAAGCCCTAACTAAGATAACCCACTACTATACTAACCCATCACTTACAATTTCTCTACTTTGAAGTCTTCCTTAGTTATCAACAGGTTACAAAAGATCCTGGGTTACCGTTTAGTGGTGGCTGCACTGGCAGCCGATTTGACTGGACAGTAGTTCCTCACTCAACTTCAGGAGCCCTAAAGTTAACATTGTAACCAATAACCTTAATTCTGAGACACAATGGATATGGTTACACTTTCCTTTCCACTAGGCTGACATTCATGATTTTGGGGAACTGTGGTCCAGTGTCCAAAAGACAATTTCAAGGATATAAGAATCCACCGAGACTCTCTTAAGTGAATTATCTATGAAATAAAACAACTAGTGTTTTCTGACATACTTGTCTGAATATTATTAGGATAGTGTTTATGGATATATCAGCTCAAGCTTTTACATTCATTATAGCAGCAAAACAACCCAACAGGAAAGAGTAGGCAAAGAAAACAGTCAACACTTTCAACCTAAGACAAAGAGCAACTGCCATTTTTTTTCTACATATCAAATTAGTAAAAATCACTATGACATAGAGATTTTGGAGAGAGGAATAATTCACATACTGCAAAAGAATATAAATCCCTTCAACATTTCTTTGAAAAACACACAGTAAAATGCACACTTTCCAACCTTATCAACATTTCCTGCGAAGAATTTACACTCCAGATATATCTGAAAAGTACTTTGGTATTTATTCATTTGCATGGTATTTTTTGACATATTAAAAGATAAACAGATGTATGGCCCTGTTTCTAACCCCTACACAGGAAAAGAAAACCACAAATGAAGACAGAGCACACTCCTATCAAAGAATGCAGCCAAGACCTCTTGTTGCCAGTGGTGCAATTCGGTCTGCCTTGAGCCTCCCAAGGGGATAGATACTGAAGCGTTCATGTCTTGCTGAGAGCACCACTGTGTAAGCTGAGACATGAGGCATAGGGATGTGCCAATGTTTGCAGCTATTTCTGGAAGGTCATACAAACTCATGGCAGTTGCCTTCAGAGGATGGGAAGTAGTCCTTTTCTCAACATCGCCATTCCAGCACACTTCCCACTGGGGTCTGACTCCCTTTGCTTGCTTGTTGATTATTCAGTTCACGAATTGCTTGAGTACAGTGTTTGTGAATACCCACCAACAAGCTTCAGAACATAGGCTTATCACCAGCAGTGGCTGGAATTAACTAGACAAGTGTTTTTTAAAAGCTGCTTTTATTGCTGGCCTGGTAGCACACACCTGTAAGTCCAGCACTTGGGAGGCAGAGGCAGATAGGCAGCTGCCTGATGTGTGATTCCCCTCTGTATGCTGTGAATACCACTGGTTAATAAAGAAACTGTCTTAGGCCTGTGATACGGGAGAGGAGAGCTGGGGTGGGGGGAACGACTAAACTGAATGCTGGAAGAAAGGAGGTAGGGTCAGGGAGAAGCCATGGAGCCACTGCCTGAGACAGATATGCTGGAACCTTGCCAGTAGGCCATGAACCTCATGGTAAAACATAAAATAATGGAAATGGATTAAATTAATATGTAAAAACTAGCCAATAAGTTAGAGCTAATAGGCCAAGCAGCGATTTTATCAATACAGTTTCTGTATGGTTATTTCGGGAGGTGTCTCAGTGCAGGTCACTTTTAATGTGTCCAACAAAGCCACTAACAGGTATTAATGCGGGCAGCACGTAACTGCTTCCTTAACACTGCTCTTTTTGTTACCTGACTGCGTGGTTCTTGTGTGTGAATATCATGGATGACAACCTCGTGCGACGACATTAGGAGACTGAACAGGCCTGGACCATTCAAGAGCAGAAATGTAAAAATCAAAACATGGGAGGTCATGGGTGCTGTCGGAGGAACCAGGCACAGAAGGACACAGGGACGTGCCACAGCACTCCTACATCCACTCATGTGTGGCCTCTGCTGACTGAAGCGGCTGGTGTGAGACCCCACATTGCTCTGGCTAGCTTCCTCAGTTTCTGTGCTGTTAGACTGCGCATCAGAGCAGAAAGACCGCTAATCCCACGCTCCTCTGATCTCACGCGATTCGGCCTCTTTTGTTAAAGGGTGAAGATAAGAAAACACTGCAAAGAACCAGCTTTACAAGCAACTCATTTAGGAATTCTATGATTTCTCATTAAATCACATCATGGCCATATCAAACACATTTTCAAGGGCGTCTCCCAAGAGCCCTTGTACACATCTCAGACATTCACAGAGCTGCCATGACTTACAACAGTGCTGTCGTTCAGGCAGGATGAATGATTTGCACAACAGCGTTCACGTGAGGCTGTAAAGGTTGGCTCAGTGGTAGCGCACAGGGCCCAGACTCATCCCTTTGCAAATACCAAGTCTTTCTTCTTCTTTTTTAAAAAAATATTTATTTATAATGTATATAATATTCTGTCTGTGTGGATGCGTGCAGGCCAGAAGAGGGCACCAGACCCCATTACAGATGTTTGTGAGCCACCATGTGGTTGCTGGGAATTGAAGTCAGGACCTTTGGAAGAGCAGGCAAGGGTCTTAACCTCTGAGCCCCCAAGTCTTTCTTCTTAATCACAAAACTTCACCCTCAAGAGCAATGAGCCTGGTGTTACTGAAAGGAAAGTCTTACAAGAGCACAGCTTAGAATTAGTAAACTAGGTCAACTGAGGGCTCAGTGGGCATGCGCTTAAATATCTGAAGTTAACACAGTTTCTTCAAAAGCGTTTGAGAGGATCTGTCATCAAATACACTTAGTACAACTGAAGAGAAAATCAGCTTGACACCAAAAATAACTATCACCTTTACTAAGCAAATAAAAACAAAAACTTCATTTATTTGCAATTTCCAGAAGGTAATATACATAAAAACTCAATGCTGTATACAACAGACGTATATAACTAATCACATACACAAAATGAATATGTACTAAATTTTCAGAAACAAAACTTAAAATAAATAGCAATAATAAAACTTTGGAAAAAAATAACACATTTTAGTTGTGGAAAATATGATTCTTAATTATATACAGTTACATATGTAATAAAAGGCCATCTCCTCTTTTCAGATTGCACAAAACTTGAGACCATTAAAAGCATATTTTACGGCATGTGACACTATAATCCCAGGCTCGTTTGTGATTAACTCCAGGATAAAAACACTTACATTCATAATAGAGTAAAAGATATGCAGTGCTGTTTGAGAAAGACCGCCTTCTCAGCTCACATTGACCTGCAGTAATCCTACACAGGCTATACAGGAAATTTCACAAAAAGAAATCTCAAATAATTATTGCACCCACTTTATGCTGAATCAACAGCCAAAAATGGGCTTAAGTAAACATGGTTGTCACTGGATATTTTTAACACTTTAAAGATCTTTCCTTTGTCCTGGAAAATACTTTTTACTTAATGACTAGCAATCTCAGCTCAAGAAAAAGCCAGGCAAAATGAAGCTAGCTTTGGCTTTCCTCTCCCCACGAGCGAGTTATTCAGAGACAGGAGTTTCCCGAGAAAGCACTACTTCAGTTCCCACAGACGCAGACCTCATCAGGAGGCCACCACAGTATGCTCATTTAAAGAACCGACAGTAACAACGTATCCATTTACATTATGGCACAGCCCTCAATTTTGAGAAAAATACATTTTAGGGAGCCAGAAAAATTGCACAAACCGTAGGAACAACCTGAAAACCTTGTGGTGAAAAACACCAGTCTCTAGGGCAATAAAAAAATATGTGTGGGCTCAATACAAATATTTATATTCCGAACAGAAGCTAAGGTAGCCATTAAGCTGCTCGATACCAGCCAGTCACAGGTTATTTCAAAAGTGTCCACAGAACCTGTGACACGAGAATGCATAGAATACAGTGGAGATGTGGCTCTTCAGTCTGCGGCCGTGAAGCTGCACCAGACTGAGCAGAAGCCCCACCCACGTCTGCACCTTAATTAAGTACTGCTGATCTCGCTCATCTGCTCCACCACCTGCCCTAGAATCTCATCCACGACATCAACATCGTAATTGACTTGCTGAAGATCCAGATCAGGCACAATCATAGCTAGCAGCTGTCCTACGTTGACTCGAAGAGAACGAAGTTTGAGGCTGCAAATACAAATAGTAATGGATTAGGTGAGTATCACAATATAAATGACTTCTCTTAATGGGCTTAAAAATTAAGTGAAAATAAAAAATCTCTGTGGAATGATACAGAATAAAAAGAAAAGTGCAACTTCCCTCAAAAACTGAACTTAATTAACCAGTTGATTCATCAAATGCTAGGCTAAACCCAGGTAGAATGCTTCATAAAACTAATGGCTCTTGAGACAACCTAGACTAGAAAAACACACAAATTAGATATTATTTCCAATTTGTTGTCACCTAGGAAGGCAGAAATATGCTAGTGAGAACACTAAGAACAAAAACATGGAACTTTGAATTCCACCTCCCCTTTGAGGAAAATAAACTGAATTTTTCTTTATGTTAGGAAAAAAATTCTGTGGCTAAATAAATATCCAAAACTGTGGTTTGAATGTTAAGCAGGCTTTGTTAAACTGTGAGAGTTCTCTAAATGTGTCCTAGCAGACTTAACTGTTAGACTGACGCAGCCCAGGTCAGAGAGACGCTTCAACAGTTCAGGCCAGTCTGTACCAGTGTCTAAAGGACACAAGAGTCAGAATGGAAGCCAGCATCAGCCTTCTGTCTTACTTCCTGCCTCAAGCTCTGACTCCCATATATGAAAGATTACGACCTGGAAGCATAAACCAAACAAACCCTTTTACTCCCTTTTGCCTTCAGTCACAGAGAACGATAGGGTAATAATTTATTGTTTGGACTTGTAGCTCTTACAGAGGACCTGTGTTCACTTCCCAGCACCTATGTAGTAGACAGTGGAAATGCTGTATCAAAAAGAACAAAACTCATCACTTCTACAAGATAAACAAAAGCCCAAACAAATATCCACTGATTACTCAGTGAAGAGGATATGCTAAAGTCATGTCCTGGGCCACTTTTAGTAGAGTCCTATGTCATGGTAAAATTCACCCCATTCTCAAAGATTCAGCCCAGTTTTCATTTTTTACCCAAAAACCCAAACCATTTTCTACAATGTTCCTTTCTCAACCTTCCGTATGAGAAGCTCTGCTGGGACCACAATGCCTGTCAGTGACTTCTGCAAACAGTGTCTACTGCGCGTGTGCAGACAGAGGTAAGGAGTGTTGGTGCTGACAGCTCCAGTACCTTTCCCCATCCACACAACTGCTGGATTCCTCGGCATTGCTTGAGGTTGAAACATCTGCTCCTGCCTGCTGACTTGTAGACTTCAACAGTTCAATCTCAGTTTTGAGTTCTTCACACTGAGAACGGACATGGGATTTCTCTATTTCCAATAAATGAACCTGATGAAAAATAAATTTTCATAAGCATAAAATTTTAAAAATTCAGTCCAAGTACAAGTTTAAGATAAGAAATGTATGGGCTGGAGAGATGGCTCAGTGGTTAAGAGCATTGCCTGCTCTTCCAAAGGTCCTGAGTTCACTTCCCAGCAACCACATGGTGGCTCACAACCATCTGTCTGGTGCCTTCTTCTGGCCTGCAGGCATACATGCAGAAAGAATATTGTATACATAATAAATAAATAAATAAATATATAAAAAAAAAGAAATGTAAAAAACCAGTGATGAAATTACCAGCTGCTGAAACAGATTAAGTACACATACACCCCAGTCATGTTTGGCTTTCTTTTCTTAAAGGCTGGGGATACAGGGCCTTGGTTTTATGAGAAATCTACCACTGAGCTACAGCCCAGCACTCAGTAACCTTCCATCAGACAAGTCTCATTTACTGAGATTCACTTCTCTATCATGTTATGGTGAAGAAAGTGTTAATTACACACTATAAGTGGACCCAAGACAAGGGAAACATCAAGATGTTAATGCTGTCGTTTGAAAAGGCTCTCATTTCATCCACTTAATATAATTAAAGCTACAATAAAAGCTTGCATTAACTTGCTTATGTTCTGGCTGGGTGGTGGTGGCGCACGTCTTTAATCCCAGCACTTGGGAGGCAGAGGCAGGTGAATCCCTGTGAGTTTGAGGCCAGTCTGGTCTACATGAGGTAGTTCCAGGACAGCCAAGACTGTTACACAGGTAAACCCTGTCTCTAAAAAAAAAAACCCACTTGCTTATGTTTTATCATTTAACACAAGATCAGAGAGAGAGCATCTAGGGCTGGAAAGATGGCTCACTGGTTAAGAGCACTGGCTGCTCTTCCCAGAGGATCCCACAACTATCTGCAGTCTACGTCCAAGTGAGCCTACACACTTCACGAGCACCAGGCGCTCACAAGGTACAGACACATATGCAGGGAAACACCTATACAACATAAAATATAAAATAAAACAAAAACCCTAACTTTACACTGGATGTAGTGGCGTACAACTTTAATAGCAGCATTTAGAAGGCAGAGACAAGTGGATCTCTAAGTTTGAGGCCAGCCTGGTCTAAGTTCCACGACAGTCAGGGCTACATAAGACCCTATCTTAAAGATAAAATTCTCTAGAAATTTGAAGCAGGGCATATAAACAGACTACCATTCATATCCCAATAGCTAATTTTTTTTTTATTTCCTCAGAAGAAAATCCCTTCAAGTAACTGCATTTTCCAGGCACCAATAAGCCTGGGAGAACACAAACTCTGCTTTCCTGGAGTCTGGAAGACACAGGCGCCACCCGCTGACTCCGAGCTGTCTCAGATCACAACTGCACAGTAAGAAGTACACCAACAACATACAAGGTGCCTGTGTTTGAACTGAAGAGTCGTCATTTTATTTGGACTTTATCATGTTGCTTGCACACAGAAGTTCCCACCATAAACTGAGGGTACTACTGCTACCTCACATGGCTGTTAAAGGTGTACTGGTTTTACATGCCACCCGCTCACCTAGCCATTGCACGTTGTTTTCTAGTGCTCTCAACCCTTTTATACTGGCGGGGTGTGTGTGTGTGTGTGTGCGTGTGTGTGTGTTCAGTCAAGGAGCACAGGCTAGCCTCAAACTTACCATGCAGCAAGGAAGACCTGGAACTCCTGATATTTAACTCCATGTCCCAAGTGCTGGGACTACAGGTATTTACCACCACACCTGATTTAGTGTGTAGCACGCATTTATCTATACATTTATTTGATTATTGGTGTGTGTGTGTACGTGCACGCCCACACAGGCGGAGGCGTCTTCCTTGATTACTGACTCCCTGCTTTCATTTACTGAGGCAGCATCTCTTGATGACATTAGAGCTTGCAATCCCTGGACAAGCTGCCATACCCACCTTTTTAGGTAGGTGGTGGGGATCTGAACTTCAGTTCCATGCTTATAAGGCAAGGGTTTTATTCAGCATCTAGTCGGTTCCTATTTTAGAAATTTCATCATCCCCCCACCCCAAGTCAGGGTCTCTCTACCTAACAGTCCTGATTGTCCCGGAACTCATTCTGGGGGCCAGGCTGACCTTAAACTCAGAGATCCACCTGCCTCTGAGTCCCCAGTGCTGGAATTAAAGGTGTGTCACCACCGCCTGGCAATTTTAGACATTTTTAAGAATCAAAATGCTTCTACATATCCCTCTGCTCTGCCAGGAGTCCCATCCCTCAGTTCAAAACCAAAGGAGTAAGAGGTATTCAATAAACACAATTATTATGTGAGTGTGTGCCAACCTACCACTTACCTCACTTTTATACTGGTCCCGCTCCACAATGCACTTGTCCAGCTGTCTAAACACGTCATCAAGCTGCACAGCCATCTCGTCCATCTCGCTTTTACTCTCACTAGTGGAACACTGGCTGCATTCAGTCTTCACTTGCTGCAGAGCGCTGCACTGTTTCTTCAGCCTTTCTATCTCATCCAAGGCTTGCTGATACTGAGATCCTCCATGGTCTGGGCTTTCAGATTTACCATTAATGCTTTCAAGTAAGAACACAGCGTCGGTCTCAGTAGATTGATGGCAAGTCTCCTTCTTCATGCATTTGTCGTTCATCTCTAGTATCCTCTGCTGTAAGACTTTTATCTCATCAGTATACATGTGACACTGTCTCTTGTAATCATCTCTTTCCTGTGTGACTGAAAGCAGCTCACTTCTCAGTTCCTGCAGCTGACGGCCAGCATCATCTGCTGACCTATCTGAGGTTTCCTGAACCTCTGCTCCGGCATTTACACAGGAGGGCAGCACCACTCTGTCGTTCGCTACACCCACCTCATCTTCAACACTTTCTTCCTTTTTAACAACTAAGCCCGGGACTTCAGTCTGAGTGGAGGCAGTAGTGCCCTGCTCACACCTGGAGGTGGAGGTGCTTGTTGAACTGGCCTGGGCACAAGTTTCAGGACTGCCAACAAGTTCAATCTGAACACCACTTTGTTCAGCGTGGCTCTGTTCTGATTTGACTTCAATATCGTGATCTACTGAAGGTTTGGGGGTGCTATTTTCTTCTAAAATGATGACATCTTCATCATCATCATTTCTATAAGGTGAATTTTCAAATGGAGGATTATTTAATCTCCGTGTCTTCACATTTAGAATTGAGGAACGAGGACCGAGTCTCCGTTTCAGGCTGGAAGAAATTGTATATAGAAAATGTGAGTTTGTAAGGCGTGGGCATGACAGAAGACAGCTCTTCCTGCTGATAGAAGCAGTTTAGTGAAGGAAGGACTCATCTGGCTCAGTTTGAGGGTATAGTCCATCACGGCAAGATAAGCATGGCATCAGGAGGTCCCATGGTGATGGAAATGTGCGGCTGGGACCCTGACATCTTGGCAGAACAGGCAGAAATAGGACCAGCTACATACCCTCAGATCCATCCCAGGGAGGTATGACTTCTTCATTCTTAGTCTTCTGAGACCTTGAGGTCAGTGTGCTAACAAAGGCATTGTAACAACTCTAATTATCTAATTATCTTGAAATCCTAATACTTAGGTTGACTTCTTCAGTATCACACCATTCAGTTCTAACATTGCTTTCTCCTTTTCCTACTAGGAAATAATGAATAACTGACTATTAAGATCTCTCTCTTGGGCTTTCTTTTTTTTTTTTGGTTTTTTGGGACAGGGTTTCTGTGTGTAACAGTCCTAGCTGTCCTGGAACTCGCTCTGTAGATCAGGCTGGCCTCTGCCTCCTCAGTGCAGGGATTAAATGTGTGGCACACCATAGCCAGCTAACTACTGAGATCTCTTTACAGTGTCTTCACATGTGGTTTCCAAGCACCCAAACAGAATACAAGCCCCAAACAGAATGCTAACCGCTTACGGCCCTTCTTGGAACTGTGAGAGAATGACATTTGACCATCCTTTTTCTCAATGATCAAAGGCAAAGAGTATTCTCTATTATTTCATTTTGCAAGTTAGTCTGATCCAAGATTTTCCCTGAAACATCGAGAAGGAATGAAATTCCTTGTGTAAAATCAGTAATGAGTATGGCAGAGCCAGTAATAGCCTGGGGCCCTGGCCCTAGGGGGCTGTGGATCCTGGGAACCCACTCTTCCCACTGAACAGGGCTATGGCCATCAGTCCAGGCTGTTGTGTGCTCAATCTGTGTGTGTTCCCCTTGTATAATACTGTTCGACGAGCTTCCTGCTAACTTTCTCCCACTGTATGATAGTTTCTGCTGTCCTGCTCTCCCTTCCAGGAAAACCTGTACATAAGATATGTACTGACCTATGTGCTTGCTTGACATAAGGCATAGCTTGTGCAAGATCTTCTGACCCTAGTTTTCCTTAGCATCTGCTTTCCACCTCCCACTTAGGACCCTATCACTGAAGGATAGAGAGCCTGCTGGCCCAAGTCAATTTCATATAAAATGATTCTCCCAAATTAGTCTTCAGGCTGCGGAGATAGTGTAGGAAGTAAGAGTACTTGCTATTTAAGGAGGCAGGTGGATCTCTGTGAGTTCCAGGCCAGCCTGCTACAGAGCAAGTTCCAGAACAGCCAGGATGGTTACACAAAGAAACCCTGTCTCAAAAGAAAAAAAAAGTGACTATTTTATGTTTTGTCTGAATGTTATACCCATGGAGGCCAATAGGGGACACCAGATTCCCGAGACTAGAGATACAGATAGTTGGTCTACTGTGTGGGTAACTAGTGCTCTTGCTGGCTGAACCATCTCTCTAGACCCCCTCTGGCCACTTATGTCATGATGTTTTATAACAAGGACAGAATAGATAACTAAGGTGGGCACTGGTCATTATAAAGGCAGTGACTTTTATACTACATACTATTAACAGCCCCCAGATCTTAGCACAACTGACACCATTCTAAACTTAAACCCAGCATATAGGCCCAACACCTGCCAACACAGGAACAAAAGACCTCATCCATCAAAGACCAGGTCCACAGTTGTAGGGTCCAGGAAAGTCCCCAAATGCACAAATGTCGTATTTTGGCTTCTGTAGTTCTGCTTCTTGCTAACTGAACAGGGTGTGATTTCTCTGCCTTGTGCACAGCAGGGAGGTGCTCCCAGCACTAAACTACAGCCCTGGGTCTCCCATGCTTCTTGCTTTGAGATGGGTGGTATAAAGGCCCAGAACTCTCACCCTGTAACTCCAAGAAGACCTTGAACTAAATTTGGTTATCCTAGGAGCTGGAATTATATAGGCTTCTGCCACCAATCCTGCAAGAGGTAGAGATCTGATCAAACCACATAGTACATTATACACACCCACCCATGTGCATGTAAAATCTTGTTTTCTCTCCGCAAACAATAGTCTCAAGGCTAGCCTCAAACGTTCCACAAGTGAGCCCGTTTGAACTCGTGATCCTCCACTTCCTGAGTGCTGAGATCACCAGTATGTGCTATTTTAACTCCTATTTAATGATTTCTAGCTAACTTAAATATGTTGTTGAAGAAGTAGGGAGAATCCTTAAACTTTTCACGTTGATGTGAATCGTAATCTCTTAGAATTGCATTAGTGCTACAGAAGAGTCACCACTAACCTGTTTTCAGGCTCAGACTGAGGTGAAACAAGATTACTTATAAGCCTTGTTGCAAAGGAGCTCCCGACTTCTGAAAGATGTGGTCTCGAAACACTTTCCTTCACAGGAGAAAAGCTCTGACTTGGAACATTTGTTGAAAACAATAACTCAGGATTAATCTGTTGGAGTGAAAAAGAAGGATCTTAAAGGAATTATTTTAATGTAAAAGTTACCAAACACAAGATACATACAATCAGTTTTGCTTTTACCCCAGAAGATACTGAGATATATCCTAAGCATGTGGATTGTTTTCTTTTTCTTTTTTTTAAGATTTATTTATTATGTATACAGTGCTCTGCCTGCATGTATGCCTTTGTGCCATAAGAGGGTCCCAGATCTCATTACAGATGGTTGTGAGCCACCATGCTTTGGCTGAGAATTGAACTCAGGACCTCTGAAAGAACAAGCAGTGTTCCTAACTGCCAAGCCATCTCTTCAGACCCATATGTGTTTCTTTTGCTACTAGGAATGGGTGGATGAACCAGTGAACTGATCCAGCCCGATATAAGGGTAGCATGGTTTCACATCGTATTGTTTGTATATATGCCCGTGTTTGGTTGTGTGCGCACCAAAGTGCGGACTCAAGTTTGTGAGGGCAGAGGCCAAGGCTGGCTGTCTTCCTCCCTCATTCTCCACTTCACGTTTTGATATAGGGTTTCACTGAACCTGAAGCTTGCCCGTCTGGCTGGAAAGGTTGGGATCCATCTGTCTCAGCCTTCCAAGCACTGGGATTACAAACAATCAGTACAAGCACCTAGGTGCTAGACACCCGAGTCTCAGTTCCTTATGCTTGCACAGATTACACCTGGCCAACTGAGCCATCTCCAGATCCACTGTGACAATGTTAAAAGGGATGAAGAAAGCAAACATACATGACTGTAAGTGGCCCACAAAGGCAAAAGAGATCACTATGCTTTGAACCTAATATACAGATGACTTCAAAGATAAAAAAATACTCTTGAGAAATTGGAATGAAAGTAAAACAGTACTTTCAAACCAAAAGTAGTTCCATTATCCATTCTCCCACAGTCCCGTTCTCCCCATAACACTACACTAGAAAGCCCTGCAATGCAATTACAATTAAATATACACCCCCAAAGCAGAACAAAATTTCCTGCCCAAGAAATATTTACATTCAGCTAAAACATCCTGCCCATCCTACCCACAGTTTATCAAGTTGCCTGGCCTCCACCTCGCGTGACTCCATATCAGCCTCCCCCTGGACATACAGCTCTAATAACAAGATTCTTTTAAATCCACTCCTGGCTGCCCCTATACAAATGGGTGAAGCCATCCACTGGAGCAAAGGTAACCTACTAGAAGCCATACCCTTAAAGAAAACTGATCCCATGGGACTAGAGAGATGGCTCGGAGGTTTAAGAGCACTGGCTACTCTTGCAGGTTCCATTCCCAGTCCTCACATGGCAGCTCATAACTGTCTGTAACTCTAGTTCCAGGGGATCTGACACCCTCGTGTGGACACACATGCAGGAAAACACCAATGTACATAAAAAGAAAAGAAAAAAAAAAGCTGACTCTCCCCAGCACCATTGACCATGATACGGCCCCTCCCCTTCAGGTGGGATGCTGTAGTCTAGTCTGACCTTGTGCAGACAGTCACAGCTCTGAATGCACTCCTCTCCTCCTGCCCTCTGGGGCTCACAGTCTCCCCACCACCCCTTCCTTGACATTTTCTGAACCCTTGGATATTCACATCCCATTTATGGTTGTGCACTTCACAGACATTAGTCTCTTCATTTCAGCAATTCTGAGTTTCTGACAAGATTTGTAAAAGGTGGCCTTACTTGGATAACACCCCACTAAATATTAATTGCACAGTCTAAAGAAGCTGTTGGGCTAGGAAGACTTGGGGAAAAGAGCAAGAATGGGTACAAAAAAAAGAGTAAATTCAACAGGCTCCTTTCAATTGGTTATAAAAGTTCAAAACTTTATAGAATTCTGCATCAGTTAAACCATGTGCTTCTAAAAATTAAGACAGATATAAAATGGAAGGATTCATTACCGGAGAGATCATTTCCAGTTGTCTGATCTTGTATTTCTCCTTGCTGCTTTAAAACAAAGATGAGAAATTAACATCTTGATATCTATCTTATTATTATTTCACAACCCCAATTTCAAATGATGTATCTATTTCACTACCAAGTTGTTCAAATATCTACAATTAACTTACTTTCAATTTTGTTATGATCAGTGGTAAACATTTAACTATGGAGTACCCATCCCCCCGCATTCTCTCCTTTAAGTTAAAAAAAAAAAATCTTAGTAACAACTGTCTGCCTAAACCACAGATCAAAACCAAGAATATCAAAGACTTTGAAGTGGTTTCATTAATTCCAAAACCACGCTAAAATTAAATAAATACTAGTATACCCTAGAGCGCAGGGATGTGGTGACTCAGTCAGCAAGGTGCCTGAGAAACCAAGTTTGAATCCCCTAGAATCCACATAAAAGCTGGGCGCAACAACACATCTAACTCCAGGGCTGCGAACATGGGGCCTGAAGGATCCCTGGCACTCAATGGCTGGCCAGTCAAGCTCAATAATGAGTTCCAGCCTCAAAAGGAAGATGGGAGAGCCTGGTGCAGTGGTGCACACCTTCAATCCCAGTACTTGGGTGGTGGCAGGAGGATTTCTGTGAGTTTGAGTACAGCCTGATCTATCTATAAAGTTCTAGGAAAGACAGGGCTACTCAGTAGCACCCTTCTCAAAACAAAAAAAAAAGAGCAAATGAGGAAGATAGATGACACTGACCTGTGGTCTCCATGACCACATACAAACACGCAGGCAACATACACAAAAGATTCATAAAAGGTTCTTAGCCTTCTGTGTCCAGTTTGTCACTGTAACCCTACTGTTCCCTACCCCACCTCCATTTCCTGTTTATCCCTAGTCACACTACTTAAGCTGTACAAATGACTACGCACATACATACACCCTTACCACTCTGAAAAGACTGATTTCAGAAATGACCTCCTTCACAAAACTTACTAGTGCACATTGTATCTGCCCCCCCAAGTCAGAAGCAACTCTCCTTTGAGCTCCTAACACAGGACAGTGCCTTTTACAGATAGACTTCACCTATTATATATAGATGCTGTGTGTGCATGTGTGCCTGTGCTCCACATGTATGCATTACCCAAGAAAGCTGGAAGAAGATGTTGGGTACCCTAAGACTGGAGTTCCAGGTGGCTATGAGCTCTCACATGGGTCTAAGAGTCAAATCTGGATCCTCTAGAAGAGCTTTTTAACCTCTGAGCCATCTCTCTGGACCCAGGTCATCAACTTCTCCTTGTTACTGTAGCCACCTTTTCTGTCAAGATGTAGGCTCATCTAATACAGCAATGAATGCAGGTCAGTAAACACGCCCCCAGAGCACACGCTGCCCCAGAAGCAGCACTGCTGTGCTCACTACACCCTCCCATCACACCTGTGAGGGACATGACTGGGGCTCATTTCTCACCACACTCAGATAGCACTCACGTCTTTTTGTAAGTTTTTTCATAAGTGGGATGTACCAAATCCTCATCTTCAGGTTCTTCTGGAACTTCACAATTTCTAGATTAAGAAAAAAAAAAAAGGAAAAACAAAGATCACACGAGAATAACACATTAGCAGTCCTGCCCAAACACCTCCAACAGTGCTTTCTGCCTTTCCAGGAAGGGCATGACCAACATATGGTACCTGAACTGTGGGTCAGGGTTATTGTAGCAATACCATTTCTCTGGAAGCTGATCTATTCCGTCTGGTAATTTTCGCCATTTTAGACAGGCATCACACTGAACCCATGTCTGATCAGGGCGCTTCCTTTAACAAAACAAGAACAAAATATTAAAATGGAATTATGGACTCAAGTATTTCATTTAAGTTCCTAGCCACCCAGGGCTATAGTAAGGTCCTGCTTTAAAGAGGGCGGACAGGGGGTGGGGGGGGTGGGGGGGAGGGGGGGGGCGCGGGCAGAGAAGATGGTGGTAGGGCACACTTCTAATCCCAGCACTTGGTGGGTGGCAGAGGAAGACAGGTCTGAGTTCGAGGCCAGCCCGGTCTACAGACTAAGTTCCAGAAAAGTCAGGGTTATAGAGAAATCCTGTCTTAAAAGATGAGGTATGAAAATGCTGGGGGGAGATTGTCTTAGGAAGAGGTGCACACCACCATCTAGAGAGATAACTCATTGGATAAGAGTACTTGCTTTCTTCTAGAGGACCCAGCACATACTTGTAACTCACACCATCTATGACTCCAGTTCCAGGGCATCTAACAGTCAGGTGGAACCTGACACTGATGAGGTACATAGACATACATGCAAGCCAAACACTCATATACTTACGTAAAAGAAAAGAAAAAACTATGAAGACTCATTATACATAAGATTTTCTCTTTGTTTAAAAACAAAGACAGGGTTTCAACTCTAGACTGACTTCAAAGCATGTAGACCATGGTAGCCTCAACTCAGAGATCTACCTACCTCAGCGTCCCGCATACTGAAATTAAAGGTGCATGTCACCATGCCCAGCTGTCTTCAAGTTCTTCATCCTCTACTCTCGGCCCACTGAGTGCTGATCACACATCTGACTCACAATAACATTTGCCTGTGTTATGTTTGTGTGTGCACATGTGACTGTAGAAGCCAGAGGTCAACCTCCAGTGTCTTTCTTTAGCAACACCATCCATCCTATTTTTTTGAGGCACTTCTCTCGCTGGCCCTGTAGGCAAGGATTACAAGTGCATGGCCCCATGCCCAGCAATTTCACCTGGGTTCTAGGATCAAACTAAGATACACTTGTCAGCAAGTACCTTGCTTGAGCTATCTCTGTCCCCTCCCTCACCTCTTCAATGCAGTTTTTAAACAGTGGGTATGAGCATGGGGCAAACACCTTTCATCCTAGCACTTGGGAGGCAAAGTCAGAATGAGTTTAGAGAGTCCTTGCTGCAAGCCACAAAAGCTGAATTATAGCTCAGTAAGATGCTTGCCCAGGAGTACGCCCAAGGCTTAGAGGCAGAACAAGTACTCTGTATAAACAAGGTCCTTTTAACATAAAACCTCAAATAAACTTAAGGCTTACAAAGTTTAAGAAATGAGACTAACCCAATAACCCTTGTTTCCTAAGACTACTGTTACCTTTCCAAATCCAGACAAAGTTTTTTCTGCTTTCAAAGGCATAGGCACGGTACCTTGGTGATTGTTCCTCTCACTACATAGGGATTTTACTCACTGTTCACTTACAGAATTAGTAGTATGTGCCATGTGTGGTTATATTTTGTTTGTACTCTAGCAAATAAAGCTGGCTTGAAGATCAGAGGATGGAACTAGCTACTAGTTAACCATAGATGTTTGGAGGTCTGTATAGACATACACTGATATGGCTGGGCAGAGAGAGAAATATAAGGCAGGAGGAGACAGGAGGTCAGCCCTTTTCAGCTGAGAAGTTAGCAAGGTAAGAGCTGGCTGGCTGTGGCTTGCTCCTTTCCCTTTCAGCATTTGCCCCAATATCTGGCTCTTTTTTTTTATTATTAAGACCAATTAGAACTTATGCAATAGCTACATGTACTAATGAGCACATGCAAGGCATTACACTGTACAATTCTTTTTTTACAAAATTTATTTCATTGTTTCATTTATGTATATCGGAGTTTTGCCTGCATGTATGTCTATGCATAACATGAGTGCCTGATGCCCAGAGAGGCCAGAAGAGCGTGTAGGGTTCCCTGGGACTGAATTAGACTATCATTGAGCTACCAGGTAGGTGGTAGTGGGAGTCAAAGATGAGTCCTCTGGAACAGCTCTTACTGCTGAACAATCTTCAGTTCCAGGTTCTCCAATGCCCTCTCCTACCAGGCACACAAGTGGTGCACAAAAACATACACACAGGCAAAGCACTCATACTTAAAAACAAAGATGAAATGAATGATATCAACAGACATCAAGTCACTAATTTGGAGTGTGTGGATTTATTTTCTCATATGAACCCTAAGTTTGTGGAAAGTCACCTCCAAAGTATGCAGTGCTCAGTACTTACTGTATGTCTTCGACTGGCAAATTGAGGGGGTATTCTGCATGTTTTTTCACTTTCATTTCATTCCAGTAATCATTCAGCTTTTCTCCTAATGCTAGTATTGTAAGCCTTTAAAAAAATAAATAATAACATTAATTCAGGAAAAAAAAAAAAACATCAGTTCTAGATCTGTTTTTTTTTTTAAGATTTATTTTGTATAGTATTCTGCCTGCATGTATGCCTGCACGCCAGAAGAGGGCACCAGATCTCATTGTAGATATAGTGAGCCACCATGTGGTTGCTGGGCATTAAACTCAGGACCTCTGGAAAAGCAGCCAGTGCTTTAACCTCTGAGCTATCGCTCCAGCCCTCAAGATCAATTAAGTAAACATAAAAATAATCAACAATGATTATAAAAATATTGCTAGTAGAAATGAAAAACTCCAATTGTATGACTAATAAATCACATGCAAGTACACCACCTTTTTTCTGTAAAAAACATTGTAAATTCCTAGATTTTCAAGAGTGTGGGAAAAGGACAGGGAGACCTGGAGGTACAGCTCAAGAACAGTGCACTTGTCTTGGATGGATGATGCTCACAAAGGAAGAGCAGTAGGACACTAGGACTCGGCTCAGACACATATTACAGACTTAGGGTTTCTATTGCTGCAAGAGAACACCATGACCAAAGCAAGCTGGGGAGGAAAAGGTTTATTTGGCTTACACTTCCATATCACTGGAGGAAGTCAGGACAGGAACTCACACAGGGCAGGATCTCAGAGGCAGGAGCTCATGGAGAGGCCATGGAGGGAGCTGCTTACTGACTTACTTCCTATGGCTTGTTCAGCCTGCTTTCTAATAGAAACCAGGACCACCAACCCAGGGCAATAACCATCCACCAAGGGCTGGGTCCTTCGCCATCAATCACTAATTAAGAAAATGCCTTTACAGCTGTCTCGAGGAGGCACTTCCTCAACTGAGGTTCCTTCCTCTCTGATGACTCTAGCTGGGGTCAAGTTGACACATAAAATCAGCCAGAACACATATGAAGGAATATATTGAGAGAACCAGAGGATCCTTGCATTTCAATCCCAACCAATAAATTCACAGCTTCATAGCCTTTTCTTTCTCTCCTCCCCCTCCCCACCAGTTTTCTTGAGACAGGGTGTCTTTACATAGTCCTGGTTGTCTAGAAATTCACTACTTAGACCAGGCTGACCTTGAACTCACAAAGATCTGTGCACCCTCAGGACCCAGGCTTGATTCTCAGCACCCATATGGTGGCTCATAACCATCCATAACTCTACCTCCAGGAGAGCCAAAGCCGTCTTCTGGCTTCCACAGGCATTGGACACACAGGTGGCCAGATGTAGACAAAATACCCACACACACACAAAATAAAATCAACATACAAACAAGCCAAAAAAACCAAACAACAAAAAGTTTACAAATGGGTACTGAACTTAATGAAGGGCACTTCTCTGTGGATATGAAGACACCTGGTATATTTGTTTTTTTTTTAATCAACATGATCAAGATGCTGGTTTTTCAATATTGAAACTACCCGTCCAGCTACCACTAAGACATAGAAAGTAAAGGTGTTTGCCACCAATCCTGATGGCCCCTCAAAGTGTATGGTGGTAGATAACTGATTCCTTGAACTTACTGACTTTCTTAACCACACAGATGCTTAAAATAAATAAATGTAAAACAAACTTAATCCATAATCTCTCAGAATATAGTCCCTTTGGCTTTAATAGCATTTGTTGCTATTTTAAATCAATAATAACAGGTTCCCACAACCGTCCTTTCACAATGTGCCTAGGTTTATTATTAAGGTATATACACTTTCACAATAGCTTCCAAAGACTTTGTGAGACTGATAGCACATATTCCTTAAATGTTGTAATTTAATAATTAGTTTTCTAAGTCTGTGAAAATTAGTCCTACTATCCTCTTAATGTTTTTATTTGCTGGACCCATGGGGTCTTTTTTGGAGAGACCCTCATTCTTAAATTTTTATTACATTTACTTTCTGTATGTGTCTGGGTGTGTGGTTGTGTGTGATTGTGTATATATGCCATGATGCCCTTTAGAGGTCAGACAGCTTGAAGGAGTTGGTCGTCTCCAGCTACCATGTGGTTCCCAGAAATCAAACTCAGACCAGTAGGCATGATAGCAAGTGCTTTTCCCAGCCAGCTTCCCATCAGGTCCTCATTCTTTAAGCTATCTTTACACTGATATTTGATTCTGCCTTTAGTGTTATGCATGCTGTTATGCAACGACAGACTGTTGTCTGGAGTGTCCACTGTCAGTGTTATTTTTCAGCTCCAAATCCAGTCTAAGACAGTACTCTGTTCGCTCTTTCTTTCTTTCTTTCTTTCTTTCTTTCTTTCTTTCTTTCTTTCTTTCTTTCTTTTTTTCTTTCTTTCCTTCTTTCTTTCTTTCTTTCTTTCTTTCTCTCTCTCTCTCTATTTATTTGTCTTGGTCTTCCCGGTTTCTGGAACTTGAACTAGAACTTCTTCTCTGAAGGAAAGTGCTCCCAGAGAAGCCCCAGCTATACCCCACTTGGCTGAGAGCAATATAGACTACAGAGGCCCAGCTCAAGTGGAATCAGAAGGAAACTATACTACAACTTACAACTGGGCCAGAGATCATTCTTTTAATATTTTGGTCAAGAATCTGGGTGGTTTTTACCCTTGTTAGAATATGCCTGAGGCTAAACTGGAAGCTTCAGACTAATTTTGTTGGCAGGGGAGATTTCAAGACAGCTTTAAACAGGTGGGGTGGTGCACGCCTTTAATCCCAGCACTTGGGAGGCAGATCTCACAGTGAGTTCTGTTCTCAAAAATAAACAAACAAAAAACCAAAATGACAATCTAATAGATATCTGGTTGGAAGCATTACCCCAGCCCCTGACATCGTTATACCCGAAGAGTCTGGGATGTTTGGGTGAACAGTTCCATCCCAAGCCCCCTCCTCTAGGAGTTGCCTCAGTCCAGACTTCACCTCTGAGAAAGCCCACTAAACAGTGACCCCCCCACCCAGAGAGGCTCAAGACCACTCCCACAGGGTATTTAATCTGCTACCCAGAGAATAAATATTTGATATCCCAGTCTTCCTTCCCTGTCTCTTCTCTGAGGGTCTGGAAGGCCACTCAGGAGCGTGGGCATCCATTAAACCTGGGCTTTTTTAAAATTCAGTTTGATTTGGTATGATTTATATTATTACATTGGCAGAAGTTTATTGGGCCGTAATGGGTATAAGGATGTCAGGGACTAGGGTGACACTTCCAACCAAACAATACTGACACGGTTATTAGTGACCATTTTGGTTTTCTCGATCTCTCTGGCTGTCTTAGAAATCACTATGTAGCCCAGGCTGGCCGGAACTCACAGAAATCTGCCTACTTCTGTCTACCCAGTGCTGGGACTGAAGATGTGTGCTACCATGCCCAGTTTAGCCACTATTCTTACGCAGATATGACCCAGCTATACTTTCAACTTGTAAAAAAAAAAGAAAGGTCTAAGAATTTTAGGAATTATCTACTCCTAAAAAGAAACAACAAAGGAAAATGTATGCAAATGAATTTCAAGGAGGGATCAGGCTCCATCCCAAGCCTGCAGTGGAGGCAACATGGGGCAAAGGAGTTGTTGAAACTTCTCCCTCAGCTAAGGAAAGCTGCTGAGGCCAGCTGTGTTGCAGGAAGTCCCTGTTTGGAGGCCCCACGACGTTAGAAGTGTATCTGTTGGATGTCTGCCTTGGAGAGCTGCAGACAGGGTGTGGAACCACCTCAAGAGAAAGAAGTGTGTTGCAGTCAATAAAGTCTCTAATTCCAGTATAGGCAAGAGGATCTCTGTGAGCTTGAGGACAGTGTGGTCTACACAGCAGCTCCAGGACAGCAGTGACCACAGAGTCTCAAAACAAACAAAAAAACAAAACAAAAAAAATAGCGGAAAGAGAAAAGTTATCTAAACCTTTCAAATTCAGAAAAAAAACTATAGAATTTGGAGTTTGCCATGAAGGGTTTCAGTCTTGTTTGGGTTCAGTATTTATTTCTTCTCTGGGTCCTTACTCCCTGCTTTTGGAATGATAATGTATATTCTGCGGAAGAACACAATTTGCTTTTTCTTATTTTCCAGAGGCTTTTAAAAGACTGCCTTGACTCTTAAAAGAGAATCTGAACTTTTGTACTGTGTTGAGACTGTAAAAGACTATAGAGATTTTTAAAATTGGACTGAATGAATTTTACATTGTAGCTATGACCCGACCTGAGCCACAAAGTGGACTGTAGTGGATTGAATAAGAATGGCCCTTGTAGGCTTATAAGCTTGAATACTTGGTCCCAACCTAACTATTTGGGAAGGATTAGAAAATGTGGCCTTGGAGAAGATGTGTCACAGGTGGGAGAGCTTCCCAGTTAGCTTTCTTCTCTGTCTTTTGCTTGTGGACGAAGATGTAAGCTCTCAGTCACTCAGTTACTGCTCTAGTACCATGCTTATTTCCCACCAAGTTCTCATTCGTGATGGCCATGGATTTAACCTTTAAACAACAAGCCCCAAATTAAATGCTTTCTTTCCTTAAGTTGCCTTGGCTACCTTGTCTTATAATTAAAAAAACAAAACAAAACAAAACAAACAAAAAACCCAGAAAAACTGTGCAGGGCTGGAAAGATGGTTCAGAGGGTAAAAGACCTTACTGCTCTTGCAGATAGATGGCCAGAGGTCAGTTCCCACCACCAAAATGAGATGGCTTACAACCTCGTGACATCTGCACTCACATGTGCACAGATCCACATAGACATAGAAATACATACATACTTAGAAAATAAAAAGGAGAAGCCCTACACTACAGAACTTGAACTGTGAGTGACTTACGTAGAAAAGGGAACTGACAACTGACATGCACCTGTGACTGCAGCACTTGGGGGGAGGCGGTGCAGGAAGGACTGTCAGAAGTTCAAGGCAGTCTGACTGTATAGGTAGTTCAAAGCCAGTCTACCCCCCAATCTGAAATATGTCCTCTGGTTAAAGGGATGGAGGGGTGAATATTCCAGCCATCTCAGTAACACATTTCCTTAGAACATTAGCAAATAAATGGGTAACATACCTGTACTCATTAGTGTAGTCAAAATCTTGCTTATTATGAGTTGGCTTAAGGAAATTACATTCTATAATTCCAACCACTCCAACACCCATGTTGTTTGCCTGAAATATAATAAACAGTATTTCAGACATAACACACGATGTTCACTATACGCTTCAACTAAGATTTAGATCATAAACTACTTTCTTATACTTTATATGACTCCCCTGAAATTTCTTGGTAAGTGCTTGGTGTTTTTGTATGTTAATTCCTAGACATAGCAGAGCTTTCTTCCACACCCATTCCTAGCAAGCATCCATTAGATGAGAATTATGTGCAAACTGACACAAGGGAAAAGGATCACATCTACTGTGATGCATGTTGTTTCCTAAGCACAGTCCTGAGCATAGACCTGCACATGGACAACCTGCAGCTCCACATCCCACCACCTCTAAAGCAATCCACAACGGGTGCTTTAGCTTGTGGCCCACGTCTTCTCACCTGGCACAAACAGCAGGCTAAATGTAGCATAGTACCACACTGTGCAGAACATAGGATACATGCTACAAGGAATTTAGAGTAAGATGAAAGTTGGGTGGTGGTGGTGGCACACGCCTTTAATTCCAGCACTTGGGAGGCAGAGGCAGGTGAATCTCTATGAGTTTGAGCCCAGTTTGGTCTACAAAGTGAGTTCCAGACTCCAAAGCTACAGAGAAACCCTGTCTCAAAAAACAAACGAGAGAGAGAGAGAGAGAGAGAGAGAGAGAGAACCAAAATACTTGTGGGAAAAAGAGAAAGAAAACATACCCAGTCTAAACTGTTAACACGTGCTCACACCAGCAGCCTGTACTAAAACTGGAAGGGTACACAGGTTAACAAGGCCCCTGTGCAAGGGTGACATGCTAATTCCCTAAGAGCTCTATATTTAAACCAAACAACAAACCTTAACAGGATCATTTACACTCGTAATTATCACCCAATACCTAGAAAATGCATAGAGCCTAACATACAGAACAAACTACATGGTGGGTTCTGACAAACAACCCAAACTAAACACAACAAAGGGCAGTAATTCCAGGGCCAGAAAACTGGCTCAAGGAACAGGCCCCTGCTACCAAACTTTACCTGCGGCTTCAAGTGGGAGGAGGGCAGTTCTAACCTACCAGTTACTACTTTTTGGGCTGGTTCCAGAAGCACTAATAAAAACAGCCAAGTTAAAATAACTAACAAACAGCAATTAAATTTATGCCTTTGGGCTGGAGAGATGGCTCAGTGGTTAAGAGCCCTGGCTGCTCTTCCAGAGGTCCTAAGTTCAATTCCCAACAACCACATGGTGGCCCACAACCATATATAATGGGATCTGATGCACTCTTCTGGCGTAAAGGTGTACATGCAGGTAGAGCACTCATATATAAAATAATTATTTTAAAATATCATTCCATTAACAAACAATCATGCAGTCGAGAGACTTGCATCCATGGAAGGTGTCCCGCTAGCACAGTTTGAGAGCAGCCTGAGTTAGATAGTAAGATGGAAGTCACCAGCACTTCCCTCCAAACAACTCAGCACAGAGATGCACTTTTGTGCCTGAGAATTGCACTTTCTATTAATTCTTGGGCAACTACTTCCTGGTCCCAATTTCCAAATCTATAAGGTAAAATAAATTCTGTCTCCTCTTGTGGGAGTAGTGAGCATCAAACGACACATGACTGTATCAAATGCCAGGCTAATATTGCTCTTAAAAGACCTATGCCCAGCCAGGTGTAGTATATGCACCTTTAATCCCAGGACTTGGGAGACAGAGGTCAGGGGATCTGTAAGTTCAAGGCCAAACTGGACTAAACAATGGGTTCCAGGATAGCCATAGGTACATAGAGAGACCCTGTCTCAAAAAGCGAACACCGCTTCCCACCTCAAGAAAAAAAAAAAAAGACTGAACAAAAATAAGAAAAATACATTATTCTTGCTAAAAACGTTTCCTTTCCAAATATAAACCTTACCTTTAACTGGCATCCCACTTTTTCATAAGCTTTGATGAGTCTATTTTTGTGATACATCATGATTCCATAGTGCTCTTTATTTCTGCAGTTGAATCCAAAAGTAATTCTCACTGTTCTAGTCTTAAAACATTAAGGAAAAGTCTGAACATGACAGTTCATCCCTCCCCAATGACTCTCTGTGTGACATGAGGGCCGGCTTGTTGGGGTTTCTGTCCTCCCACCAGGTCCCACAACTGTTTGACCCCAAAGAAAATCACAGAGGTCTATATTAACTCTTGTTATTAAAGAGGGGGAAGATGTGACCTGCTCTGCAGAAAAAGGTACTGAGTCATGTGGCTAACATAGATAAGAACAATGGGTTAATATAAGTTACAAGAGTTAATAAGAAGCCTAAGCTAATGGGCCCATCAATTTATAATATAGACTCTCTGTGTGATTTTCTTTGGGGCCAAATGGCAGTGGGACCCGCTGAGAGGACAGAAACCCCAACAAGCAGGCCCTCATGTTACAAATGGGGCCAAAGTATGGACGACTATATCCACATAAAGCCTGACAGAGCTTGGGAAGTAATTCTAGACAGAAAAGAATAAAGCTTGGCTTCCTCGGGTCTGCTCTGCTTGCTAAAGGCAAGCGTTCTCATTTAAGAGAGGCTTCCTGACTCAGTTTTAGCTGCAAAACCCTGCAGCTCTTTAAGAGGTCCTGCCATGAAACAGTTAAATGGTGTTGATAAAAGCTGACTACATGTTTTTGGTATTCAGTAATAGCAGGAAAAAAGCTATGCCGTTTTAAAATGCCGGCTTTCTGGGCTGTGCTGCCAGTGCAAACTCTGACTCTTTCAGGCAGGAGGTCCAGCTACAGAGAGAGCATTTGAGCATTGTTTGTGGACATACTGTTACAGCTTGCTTGCTGGCAAGGACCTTGAAACGCCATAGAGTTGTGGCAATAAACATGGCTCCGGCGGTATCTCCACCATGAGCCTGGAATTTCAGAAAGCTAAGGAATGGGCTAGATCCAGCCGCCAAAGCCATGGCTTTAATCCTCTCCATATTGCTTAGTAAATTAAAGATTCATGTGGTCAGAAAAAAAGAGAGATATACAGTAAACAGAGAGTCAAAGATGAAGAAAACCTCTAAATGATTTACATTGTGTTAAAAATATACTCAGGCTAAAGGTTAAAGTCCTTAAAATAAAAAAGAAAGAAAGTAGTTGGATGTGGTGGTACACATCTTTAATCCCAACACTTGAGAGACAGAGGCAGAGAAACCTCTGTGAGTTCAAGGTGTGGTGGTGCACACCTTTAATCCCAACACTTGGGAGGCAGAGGCAGGTGGATCTCTCTGAGTTCAAAGACAGCCTGGTCTACAGAAGGAGTTCCAGGACAGTCAAAGATATACAGAGAACCTGTCTCAAAAAGACAAACAGTAAAAATAAAAGAAATAGAGGTTAAAATAAAGCCATGTAAAGATGAAAAATACACAGAGAATCTGGATACTGTATGTTATTATGTTCTCTTTGAATTGTTTGAATGCTGAGGAAGGAGCAACAGCTGCTAAAAGATATTTGTTTATAAATGCTGCTAAATTAATCCAAGATAGGTATTTCTGAAAATACCTTCACTTCAAAAGGTATGTTACTTTGGAGACAATATTTTGCTTTTGTTTCCACAGGGAATGAGAGGCTGTGGATTCATTCTGAATTAAGAAAAATCAGGTTTGATCAAGGAAGACCACCTGAGAAATCTCCAGTAGGAACAGATGGCCCAGATGTCTGAGTTCTATATCCAGAACAGATTCCAGACTGCTGCCTGAGATGATCAAGACTCACAAGATACTCCATTCAGGACTTGATCATAATTCTAAATTTTCTTTATGTCCCCGTAAGATTGTCAGTGCCCCCAACCAACAGGAAGTAGACTGGAATACTACGCCCATATTCCCAAAAAAATTGACTATGAATAATTTCCTTTGTTAAAAAAAAAAAAAAGAGGAGGAAGTGGTGTGTGACAATTCCATATTCTGTCAATTATGTTTTAAATAAACACTAATTGGCCAATAGCCGGGCAGGAAGTATAGGTGGGACAACCAGACAGGAAGTAGAAGCAGGTCAAAGAGAACAGGAGAATTCTGGGAAGAAGGAAGCCCATTTCTCCCCAGTCCTGCCCAGACCATGGAAGAAGCAAGATGTGACCTACCCTGCTGAAAAAGGTATTGAGCCATGTGTCTAACATATACTAGAATAATGGCCTAATATAAGTTATAAGAGTTAATAAGAAGCCTGAGCTAATGGGCCCATCAATTTATAATTAATATAGACTCTCTGTGTGATTTTCTTTGGGGCCAAATGGCTGTGGGACCTGGTGGGAGGACAGAAACTTCAACAAAGCAGGTCCTCATACTACATCTGTATATTACTAATTACTGGCTAGATGGGTCTTCTATAGGATGCGGGTCTGACTCTCAGCATCTACATGGCAGCTCACAATGATCTCAGTTCTATTGTCAATAGGACCTGGCCTCCTTGGGCACCAGGCACCCACACAGTACAGATACACATGCAGACAAAGCACTCATACATATAAAATAAAAACATACAAATCTATTAAAAATAAGTAAGTCCCAAAGTACACACAGAAAGCCAATCTGGAGATTAGAATTCGTATGGGGAGGGCTGGTGGGCCGGATCAGGGAGTAAAATGTTGACCATTAGACTTGACAAGCTGACTTTAATTTCTGGGACTTCACGGTGAAGGAGAACAGCTCCTGCAAGTTCTCCTCTGATTTACACACACCCACTACGTACACACAAATGAATATAATTTTTAAAGATGTTACAAGGATAGAAAGGGTAAGGACACATGACATTGAATATGCTTCACTGTGTTCACACAGCATGATAAAGAAAGGATACTAGGAATTTAGGCCGGTATACATCCCGTTCAATGTAGGCAAGACTCTTGGAAACCAGCTGTGTCTTCACTTTTTGTCCACGTAGGATGATCTGCATTCTTGGCTTCAAATATAAAATACTGCAATAAGCCTGGAAAGGAACATAGCAAAATCTGTCCTTTCTAAAGCATTATTCACAGACTTATTCAATATTACTGAGATATGCATTTAAAAATAAAGTGCTTCCTTTGTTAACAAACACCTTAATTCCTCAATAAAGTAATACAGAGTACAGAGTGGGGGTATAGTTCAGTGGTAAAGGTGTACACTTCAATGTATGAGGCCTTGGGTTCAAACTCAAGTATCAAACAATAACAACACGAAATTATATTAGTTATTCTGATTTCAAAAGAAAGTTTTTGAAACAGAGTCTCAAAATAGAACCTAGAACTCAACATATAGCTGAAGATGGCTTTGAACACCTGTCCTTCTGCTTCTACCTCCCTGAGGAGCATTACAGGAGTGACCACCATACCTGTAAACTCCAGAACGCAGAGCCCAAGTAGGAGGCTCTCCACTTTGAGGATACATAGTGAGATCTTATCTGTGTCAGAACACAGTCCAGGAATGGAGTCGCGTGAGAATTCTAAGTGCTTGTGAGAACACGCCAAGAAAACAAGAGTCTTGTGACCCCAGTTCCTTCAAACACAGAACTGTTCTTGGAATGAGCTTCCGCACCCCTCCCAGGTGTAGGAATAGAGAGTTTACTTGGATTTCTTTACTCATTATTGCTTGCTGCTATTATTCAATTAAATGTATAGCCAGCCTTTATATGCCTCTACAGGACGTGTTTTTGCCATGTGCAGCTTGTTCTTGTAGCTGTATACAGCTTGAACTCACGAGAATTATTTGTTAGTTTGGTTTTCCAAGACAGGTTTCTCTGTGTAGCACTGGCTGTCCTGAAACTTGCTCTGTAGACCATGCTGGTCTCAAACTCAGTTATCCACCTTTCTCTGCCTCCTGAATGCTGGGATTAAAGGCCTGCTAACCCTCAGAATATAAATCATCTGAGGCTCTGAATAAAATTGGCTACTGCAATGAGACTTTAGTCTCCTCATTTATCGGCCCCTCTGCCAGGTCCCACCACTTCTAGAGCAGGGACACTCAATGGCAGGGAGACCAGTGAAGAATGAGCTGATCCACAAAGATACTGACACATTCCTGAATTAACGTTGTCAAGTACCATGTACATATCATGTGTGTACCATGTATGTAATATATCATCTAAAATTTTTTGTTGTTTGTTTATTCAGGATAGGGTTTCTCTTTGTCGCCTTGCCTGTCCTGGAACTTATTCTGTAGACAAGACGGCCTTGTCTCTGCCTCCCAAGTGCTGGGATTAAAAGTGTGCACTACCACGCCTGACTTAATTTAGAAAATGTACACAGAAACCTGCAGAAAAGAGGGTCCAAACTTCAAGGTGGCAAAGGGAAGGCCAGGATGAGAAAACAAAGCTGTGGCTTATGCCAGCAAGTTTGTTAAGCAGCACAGGGTTCCATGTTCTGTTTATCAAGTTTACCAAGAAGCACAGCGCCCCACTTGTTGTTGCAGAAAAAAGGGACAGAGTCAGCACCAAGTTAATCATGGACTAATGTGCAAAGGGAACACAGGATATTTCAAGTGTGTCACAGACTACCATACTATGGCTCCGGGACTGAGAGCCACAATCCTTTGGGGGAAAAGTTAGGTTCCCACAAAACCTACACTCCCTAGAGGCCAGGTCCTCAGTCCTAGATCAGACCTTGTCAAGTCTGCTCTTGGACAAGGCCACAGTATGCCCTTTGCCCTTCCATGGGAACCTCTCAGAAAGTCTTGGATTGCCTGCTCCCCACCAGGAACCAGCAGTAGTGGCTGACACCTACACCTACCCTGTGAAGGAAAGGGTGGAGATCAGAGTTCAAGGTCAGCTTTGACTACAGAGCAAGTTTGAGGCCAACACGTGAAGAGACCCTGCTTCTAAAGAACAAAGGGGAGAAGAGGGGTGGATACGAGCAAAAGGCATTGTATACACGGATATATTCTTAAAGAATTTTGGGGAGGGGGGGTTAAAATAGGGTTTCTCCGTATAGCCTTGGCTGTTCTAGAACTTGCTCTGTAGCCCAGGCTGGCCTTGAACTCACATAAAACTGCCTGCCTCTGCCTCCCAAGTCCTGGGACTAAAGCCATGCACCACTACTGCCTGGCCAAAAATAATTTTTTTTAAAATTAAACAAACAAATAAATGGGTAAATGAGAAAAAATATGCAAAAGTACAAAAAAGGACATTTTCTGACCCTGATCTTTCCTTTTTGATATTATTTAAAAACAAACTAAGACAATTTATTAGACAAAAAGTAACAAGCAATCTCAAATTCAAGTAAGAAAATGTAAGCTTGGCAAGGTTTTGTCTCGAGAAGCCTGGACTCCACCCCTACTACTGCACAGTTGAGAGTGACTCTGTACTCCCCATCCTCTGCCTCCATGTCTCGTGAGCTAACACACCCAGTTCAAAACGTGTTTCCATTCTTTTTCTTTTGGGGGGATTTTTGAAATGGGTCTCACTCGAAAGCCCAGGCTAATCATGAGCTAAGAGCAATCCTCTTGCCTGAGCTTTCAGAGTGGTGAACAGATAGATGTGAGCCATCATGCCCAGCTTGTCTTCACTCAACACAGGGCAGCCTAAGCTTGGCATAGTGGCACATGCCTGTGATCCCAGCAATTAGAAAGCTGCAGCAGGAAGACTGAGACGTAAGGTCAATTTCGGCTACCCAGGAAGACATTATCTCAGAAAAACAAGACAACTTTAGAAAACTTGATTACATGCCAAATAAAACATGTTCTTCTGTCTCCCCATTACTATGAGCAATCTCTGAATGACATGTGTTGAATAATTCAGAGTACAAATGAAACACTCAATAGAAAAGTAAAATCTGAACATGTCTTACTTCTCCCCTGGCTCCTGAGTCCAAGGAACATGATATGATGTCTTCTCTAACTCAACTCATGGTCTCTGCAAACACTGACCTGCAAACTGTCTGCTCTCATGGCTGAAACTTGTTTCACATTTAAGCATGACTTTAACAGCAGTGACAATTCCCAGTAACAGGATATGACAAGAGACAGCACACATTTCCTATTATAATTGCTCAGACCTTAGAAAATGCACATTATCAAATTTGCAAATGTCAGATTCTTGGTTTGGGCTATGTAATTTAGCATAAAAAGCATAAAATTAATATCATTTCATTCAAATTAAGAAACAATGATGGACCTAGGACAGAGAGAGCCTGAGGAAGCAAGTTTCACAGGGAGCAAAAACCAGGAACAAATCCAGTCCCAGGAGCCAACCCAGTCCCGGGGCACTGATGGAACAGGACTGAGCCAGCAACCAGATCCAGTGTCAGCGATCTCCACCGGAACAGCTACAGGGGAGTAACTGCTGAATGAGTGAGCCAGAGCCAGAGTCTGCTGAGGGTCCAGACATGAATCTGGAACCTTCAAGGGAGTAGACGTTAAGTCAGGACCCCCGTGGGTGTGGGCATGAGTCTAGGACCACCCAGGAACTAGGCCTGAGCCAGGACCTCTGCCAGTCTGGGCGTGAGTGAACCTGGGATCTTCAAGGGAATAGGCAGGAACTGGAGATCTCTGTGGGACCAGGAGTGAGTCTGGGACCTCAGAGAGAATAGGCATGAACCTGGAACCTCTGCGGGAATGGGCATGAGTCTCAGACCTCTGAGGAAGTAAGCCTGAGCCAGGTCCTCTGCGGTTCCAGGTACACCCAAGCTTGAGAACTCCGAGGCAGTAGACTGGAGCCAGATACCTTTGCAGGACCAACGCAAAGCCAGGGACTTCTGCAGGAGGAGATCCAGGATTTACAGAAACAAGGCAAAGCCAGCAACCTAGGCCAAAGTAGGCCCGAGACAGCAAACTCCAAGGGAGCAGAGCAAAGCACAGGACAGGAATGCTGAACTATCTCCAGAAACGGCATTACCAATGGGGTAACTAGAACTGTGACACAGACTGTATCATGAGGAACAACCATCTGAGCTTTGGATTCACTGGCACCTAGAAGATTATTCAACAGAATCTCAGACAGCCACAACCACACCTATTAGAGAAAAAGATGAGTAGAAAAGGTAAGAACACAAGCAACACAAAAGAACAACACAACACCAGTAAAACCTAAAGACCCTACAACAGCAAAACCTGAACAACCAAACATGGATGAAGCAGAAAAAAAGACCTAAAAAATAATTTCAAGAGAATTTTTGAAACTCTTAAAGAAGAAATGAGAAATTTCCTTAAAAAAACGGAGGAAAAGAAAAACAAAAAATTGGAAGACATCAGCATATCACTTAGAAAAAAACAAGAAAAAGAAATCAAACATATGAAAGAAACTATTCAGGACTTGAAAACTGAAATAGAAACAAGAAAGAAAACACAAGCCAAGGGAATTATAGAAACAGAAATCATGAGAAAACAACCAGGAACCACAAACACTAGTATAAACAGCAGAATACAAGAGATGGAAGAGAGACTCTCAAGCACTATAGAACAATAGAGGAAACAGACTCATTGGTCAAAGAACAGTACGTCTAACAAAAGCTTAACCCAAAATATGGACACCATGAAAAGGCCAAATCTAAGAAAAATAGGTATAGAAGAAGAAAATTTTAACACAAAAGCACAGAAAATATACTTAACAAAATCATAGAGGAAAACTTTCCCAACCTAAAGAAAGATATGCCTATGAAGATACAAGAAGCCTACAGAACACTAAAACAGACTGGATACAAAAAAGTCCTCTCACCACATAATAATCAAAACACTAAACATACTGAGTAAAGAAAGAATATCAAGAACTGCAAAGGAAAAAGGTCAAGTACTATATAAAGGTAGACCTATCAGAATTACACCCGACTTCTCATTGGAGACAATGAAAGCCCGAAGGTCATGATCAAGCAGACATTAAGAGACCACGGATGCCATCCCAGACTACTATACGCAGTAAAACTTTCGATCACTATAAAAGGACAAAACAAGATATTCAGTGACAAAATTGGTGAAAATAGATTTCACCAATACCTAGCTAGCCACAAACTCAGCCCTATACAAAATACTAGAAGAAAAACTCCAACCCAAGGAAAAAACACCAACAAAAACACAGACGACTGATGGTCTCATAGCAGCAAATCCCAAAGGGAAAAACACAAGAATTAACATCACCAAAAATGAAAAATAAATTAACTGGAGACAGCAATCACGGGTCATTAATATCTCTTAATATAAATGGACTCAACTCACCTATAAAAAGGCACAGGCTAACATATTGGATACGAAAACAGAAACCAACATCTGAGTACATACCCTTAAGGAGTAGTCACTCTCAGGGGCAATCTGGTCCATCCTTTCTTGTTTCTTGTATCCTTTCTTCCCTGCAGCCTCATCTAAATCCTCAGGAATTCTGATGTCATATTTATCCTTTTCAAAATCAAATTCTGTTGCATTTTTGTAACTGTAAGACAAGAATTTAGATAGAAGCAAAATGTCACATTGAGAAAAATGAGTAAATACTATATAGTAAGAAAAAATGAGCACATAAACAAGCAAATAAACTGTAGGCCATGGGTCAGGGGGCTAGTACAAGACAGAAGAAAGGCAGCAGGAAGACTCAGGAAACCACATCCTACATAACATAGGACCTCTGAGAAAGCCTTACAGTGTAGGAGGAGAGAGCTGCTTGTTGGTTCCTGGCTGTTTAGCCCCAAAATAATCACACAGAAAGTGTTTTAATTAAATCACTGCTTGGCCCATTAGCTCTAGCTTCTTATTGGCTAACTCTTACATACTAGTTAACCCATTTCTATTAATCTGTGTATCGCCACATGGTTGTGGCTTACGGACTAAAGTTCTGGCATCTGTCTCCAGCAGGGCTATATGGAGTCTCCCTGACTCCGCCTCCTTTCTCCCAGCATTCAGTTCAGTTTTCCCCACCTAGCTCTGTTCCCCTATAGCTCTGCTATAGGCCCAAAGCAGTTCCTTTATTAACCAATGTTATTAACAGCATACAGAGGAAATCCAACATCACCAGCACAGAAACTATGGTCCTAAGTATTCCCAAAGACACCAGCATCTGTGTTTACAGCAGCAGCTCAAATGGTGTCAGGCTACAAACAACACACATGCTGTTCAACAGGAGAGGTGGGAAACAACTGGACCTGAACTCAGAATGGAGTGTCAATGTGAAAAACACTGAACTAGCATCCTTATAAAGAAATGCAAAAAGCTTGAAACATCTGCAAGGGTCCCAAGTATCTCACACACCCAGAGTTAGTGCCTTTATGGAACCTTTTCCATAGGACATGATCAAGAAGGTCAAAGGTTGCCTGGACTTGAGAAGCACAGCACAAAGGAAACAGTACACTGTGGGTGCTGTGCTGAGCCAAGTGCCCTGCATTTTCCTGCACCAAAGACAGTGCCCTGGCACTACTAACAGACTTAGAGAAAACTGTAAAGAGACAGGAGGGCCAGCCTACACATGAATTCCAGTTACTCAAAATCTGAAAGCTTGACTGAAAGAAAGAAACCTAACAAGGAAGGGGAACAAGAAGATGAATGAACATAAGCAAAAGGAGACTCAGTACCCCCAGAAAAACAAATTCTAAAATGCTTCGGGTTTAATGCTATTTGTGCTTTATTTCTATGTATTGCAGGCTTACTTTTTTTTGTTTTTTTGAGACAGGGTTTCACTGTAATATTTATTAATATTTAAAGGTTTTAATTGTCCAAAGACAAGAGAAGTATTAATTTTAACTTTTAAAATTACTTTATTTATTCTTTTCACTGTAGTATTTATTAATATTTAAAGGTTTTAATTGTCCAAAGACAAGAGAAGTATTAATTTTAACTTTTAAAATTACTTTGTTTATTTATTCTTTGTATGTGTGCATGTGCGCACATGTGAGACGGGAGAGAGAACTCATGTAGAGATTTAAGCACGACTCTAGGAAGTGCATTCTTTGTGGCTTATCACGTGGATCTGAGGAACTGAATCACATCACCAGGCTTGCCCGCAAGCTGACCTTTACCCACTCAGCCCTCTCACAAACCCAAGAACTATATATACAAATTTAGCAAGGTAAAACTTTCATCTACATTACTTACTGGATTGTTAGCTCATGCAATCTAAATTTCACAAGTTATTCTTCCTAGCTACTATTTCATCTTTTTTCTTTCTCTTTTTTAGGTAGTTTTTTGTTTTGGGCCTAGGAATGGAATAACAGGCAAAGCACTTTTGAAAACTGATAGAACTAGGACATTTTTAGAACAATTTCAAAGTAACTCTTTGAAGCCAAATTGGGCTAATTAAAATATTCTTAGAAAACACAAATTATGGGCCTGGAGAGCACTCAGAAGTTAATAAGAGTATTGGCTGCTTTTACAGAGGTCCTGAGTTCGACTCCCAACAACCACAGGGTGGCTCACAACCCTCTATACTGGGATCTGATGCCCTCTTCTGGCATATAAGCATACATACAGGCAGACCATTGTATACATAATAAACTAAAAAAAAAGAAAAGAAACGAAACCACAAATCAGGAAGTATACCAACAAATGCATTTTCTATTCATTTCTAGTCTGTGTAACAAGGTTAAACATAATGCAACCAACTCTGTGTGTGCACTTTACAACAGAGATCTACATTTACCTTCTAAGATTCCAAATGATGATCCTTGTCCCCTTCTTACCCATAATAGCATCAAGTTCTGCCAGTAATTTCTGTTCCGTAGAAAAGAGAGAATGTTCCAGAATTGCTGCTAGGCTTGCTTTTGATTCTGCTAAATTAATCATCTGACGTATGTCCTTAGTTAAAGATGAAATCAACAACTTTAGACAATTATAATATAGAAGCCAACTTTAGTGAATTCAAGAGAAACCAATCCCTAAATTATTTAGAACTCCTATAAACCAATGTGACTTCAAATGAACACAAGAAAGATGAACACAAGGAAGATGAGCACGTCCTAGGGCTCAGCGGAGTCCACCTATACCTCAGCTATGTGAGGCTTATGACAGTTCACCTTAACTCTAAAAGAGGGAGGAAAAAAGAGCAAATTCATTATTTCTAACTAAGTGATTTATGTCAGTGAGTTCCTAAAATCATCTTGCTTTTCACTATTAGGGAAACTTTTGACCAGGTCAACACAGTCTCTTATTAATCCACAATAATCTTGAAGTAAGGAACTCCAAGCTAGGCAAAGCGGCTCATTCCTGTAATGCCTGTTGCATTAGAGGCCGAGGCCGGTCATCTTGCACGACATACTGAAACTCAGTCCTCAACTGTCCTCTACCTCATCTGCAGCCCTGGAAAACATCAACACAATGAGGCACCTGCTCCTTCAATCCCAGCACTAAGGAAGCAGAGGAAGGGGCAGGCAATCACTGTGATTTTTCAGGACCTCCCGGGGTACCCAGTGAGACCTTGTTTCAAACCAACTAACCAAACAAAACGCACAACTACAACCATAACCTTATTTTAGTTGTCCAGTAAAGAAAAAAAAACGAACCTTGGGCTTCAGGCACAGGGTAAAGGAAGCATATACAGACAAGAAATAGACTATACATGATTAAAAACAAAAAACAAGAACTGGGAGCTGAAGAGTTAGTTAAGGGCATTTGTTGCTCTTGTAGAGATGGCTCAAATCCCAGTACCAACATGACAGCTCATGGTCACTTGTAACAGTAGTACTAGGGGAATCAATACTCTTCTAACCTCCGCAGATACCACAAATACACATGGTCCATATCCATATTGCAGACAAAACACTATACACATAAAGTAATTTATAAATGAACAACAAAATTTTGGATGGGTGTACTGGCTGGTTTTGTGTCAACTTGATACAAGCTAGAGTCATCAGAGAGGAAGAAGCCAGGAAGAAGCAGACCCACCCCTTGGTGGATGGTTATTGCCCTGGGTTGGTGGTCCTGGTTTCTATTAGAAAGCAGGCTGAACAAGCCATAGGAAGCAAGTCAGTAAGCAGCTCCCTCCATGGCCTCTCCATCAGCTCCTGCCTCTGGGATCCTGCCTGTGTGAGTTCCTGTCCTGACTTCCTATGATCTGGAAGTGTAAGCCAAATAAACCCTTTCCTCCTCAGCTTGCTTTCTGGTCATGGTGTTCTGTTGCAGCAACGGAAACCCTACTAGGACAATGGGTAAGGTGCTGCGTGTTCCAGCTTTAGATTGGACGGGATGGAAAATCAGAAGTTTGGAAGCTAGCCTGGTTAACACAGAGGGACCCTTTCTAAAACAAAGGACAGGGCAAGACAAGAACTGAGGAAGATAAAAGAAATGTTCCAGATTTTTTTTCAAGTTTCTCTGCAGCACTGATTCCAAAATAAAAAGGATATGGTGTTTGTTGAATGTCACGATAGGGACAACAACATGTTCCGCCTTTATAACTTCCAAGTAGGTCTGAGACAAGAATCCCACACTCATGGTTTCTCCATTTTTGGTAAAAACTATTGCATCTTTGCCCAGTCTCATAGAACCTGACTTGAAGCCATTCCCATACAATCCAACTGGGACATGACCATTCATGGTGACTTTGTCACTGAAGCCAAAGCTAAAAAGAAAAGAAAAATTTAAATAAACACTCATTCTTTCATTTCTAAGAAATTAATATAATACTAAGTAAAAAGCCTGGGTTCAAATGCTGATCCCACCCACTCTGGGAGTATAATACAATCTTGAGCAACTTCACCCTACCCTGCTGTGTTTTCACATCTCTGAAAAGAATGGGTTTAGGTACTCATACCAGCTCATCACCTGGAATGTATGGCTAAATGTCTGGGTTATAACACGAGGTCTACAAACCTCCAGATTCCAGGCCATGGATCATTTATGATATGAACAATTTTCTTGTTCTGAACAAGGTTATGTGGCATGATTAATGGTGGGGTCAATTTGACTTTTGCAGCATAATGAACATTTGAAAGACAAGAGAGGGCTTCTGTTTCTGCGTTCTTCCGCTGCTCTGCACCATTTATTTCAGTACCCAGTGCAGACACTGTTCACTGACTCTGCAGCCTGAGAATGCATGAATTATTTTATGCCTCTTCATTCTCTCCATCTCTTTAAAGACAACACAAGGTAAGCCCAATTTATACCAAAGTAAAAACAGCTACTATCAGTGTGCTCCACCTCTAAAGGAATGCCGAATTTTAGGTAAGGCAGACAAAGGGAAGGGGTGATGAGTATGGTGGGATTGCCTAATAACCTAGTTGTAGAAAATAATGAAAGACTTAGTCACACTGTGCATATGGCATTTCATGTTTTAAAAACAGAATTAAGGATATGAAATGGTATTTTCTATGGCACATGTAAATTTTAAAATAGGCAGAAGCCACCATTTTCTGAAGTATGACACGTTTTTTACATACCTTAGCATTTTATGTAGCTTATCTGCAGTCATCCCATTCCCATTATCAGTGAATGTCAAGCATATACGGTCATTAATCACTGTTTTATCAATCCAGATCTGTTTAGCATTCACATCAGGATCATAAGCATTATCTGGAAGACAAAGGGTTGAGAAATTCTGAGTCTGTATTTTAAAGAAGCCAATCATTAGAACAATGTAACAAGCAATAGAATACCATTACTACTTTAAAAGCTCTAACTGTTAGGAATTCCTAAGGTTTGAAAACACAAAACTAAACTGCCTCCATGGGCTCTATGAGAGTGAGTTCTCTCCAAGCCCTTCACATCATGTAGGAATAAAGACTGGCAAACACTCACTGAGTGTGACGCACCACTGCTCACACAGACAACTAAACCAGGAAACCAAGCTGAGTGTGACGAGCACTAGCAGTGGACACAGACGCTAAGGACAGTTAGGATGAGAAGGTAGGGTCCCTGCCCTCTACGCTACACACAGATGAAAGAGTCACCTACAGGATCTGCCACTGGGATTCGTGTGGCGCTCACAACTCCAGCACTGTGCACTTCTCCTTTAACATCTTGTTTACACATTCATTCTTACAACAGGCACAATAAAGGACTATATTAAAAATGAAAAATACTTATCAGTAATAAAATCAACATGTAATTTATCCAAGATCCATCGGATAGCCTCTAACTGAAATATACTTTGAAGTATTTATTAGACATAATGACTTTCTGAATTTTGGACTCTTTCCCTCATACTGGGTTGTCTTATCCAACCTTAAAAGAAGGGGTAGTGCCTAGTTCTTACTGCAACTTATTGCTATCCATGGGAGACCTGCCCTTTTCTGAATAGAAACTGAGGAGGAGTGGATGGGGGAGGGAAAACTTTGGTCTGGATGTAAAAAAATAAAAATCATTTTAAAAATGGCTTTTAAACTACTCTTCTATAAAGCAGTTTACAATTAATCTTTTCCTACCACTTCAGGAAAGATAAAATAGTATTTCATTAAGAACGTAAACTTGGTAACACCACAAAGAACACAACTGTTAGGCATGGGTATTCCTGCTAGTCTGCCACTAAAAACAAAGATACTTGCAGTGTTGTAGCACATCCACTGCAGAGTTGGGAGAAGAAAAATAAAACCACCTGGATGCTTGTTGGCTCTGCCTTTAGAAAATCTTAGTATTATACCAAAGGAGAGGGGCTCCTGCGAGTGGGCAGCGTGCTCATCCTGCAATCCCAGCTCTAGAGAAGCTGAGGACCAAGACTTACTGCAAATTCCAGGTCAGCCTGGGCTGGAGGGAGACCCTGCCTTAATAAACAAAAACTCAGAAGTTCCTCCTCCTCCCATATCTCAGGCAGGCCCCTCCTCTGATAAAGATCCACTATAAAACATACAAAGAAACTCCTGAGAAAACATTTCCCCATTTAGAATATAAGCCTAACTGGGGTGGAGGGGGGCTATTCTTGCTCATGTCATTTCCTAAGAAGGAAATCATGACCTCATGTATTAATCTGGATATAAAATATGCGTTGTCTCATGCTCATTAGATAATTAAGGTATATCTTGGACCTCATCATTCTTTAGAGGACACAAGAAACCATCATAAAGTTAGCATATTAATTCTAACACCTGAACGAGGAATCTACTCTGTGTTATACTGTGAAGAGTCTTAGTAAAAAAAAATCTGCAACATAAATGCATTGTAAACTTAGCAAATTAAGAACTAAAGCTATGAAAACACTTGGTAGTTTGTGGAAGGCTGAAGTAACTCATCTGATAGGAGCATAAACAACTGTTAAGTCAGTTTTTACACTAACGTTATTCAGGAATATTTTAAAAAGTATAGCTGCATATTACTTTTCAGAAGTTATTAAGTTACAATTAACAGACAGCGTTGAAATGTCGATTTACATACCTATTAATTCAGCAACTGCACTGAATGGCCAAGTATGACTAGTAGAATTTGTATGTAAAAACTTCGGGCAAAGCTGAAACAAACCAACAATTCATATTATTTAATGCATCCCTTAATTATGAGCACAAGATCCAATAAACATTGTTTCTGTGCTAAACAACACTGAAACCAAATAAAAAATGACTTAGATGCTTGCTCCAAGAAGATAAAGCCTAGAAGCTCCCCGGAAGATAAGGCTGGGGAAACAACTCAAATAGCTCACACATCAAGACCTATTTAAAATCCTTGCCTCCTTAATGTCCACAATGCCATAGCTCCACAAGTCCCTTGTAGGTCCTGTTTCTACATGACCCAGCCAAGACCCTGATGTCTGGCAAAAATCATTTCCTAAATCTCTCTACTTTGAGACAAGGTTCTGCAAAGAGAGTGTTTGGTTATTAGTGTACTGGTTGGGTCTAATAACCTGACTAAGCTTTGCTGGCAGCCTCTCAGACAGTATTCAACACTCTGAGTTGGCTGCATTATCTATTCTAAGTTTATTGCAGTTGAACATTGACCTGCTGTGTATCCATGACTTCTTCAAATAACAAAGCACTGCAATTTATAAGCTCTTAAAGTATGACTTTATTCTCAATAACAAATATGGAGAGGAGGTCAATAAACCCTGTTATAGCAAACCTAATTTCTTGAACAATTTAGGCACATAATCAACTAGTTTAAGTACAATTTTTTTTTTAAAGGCAGGGTCAGGGCTGGTTGGGGTTGGAGAGATGGATTAGGGGTTAAGAGCACTCACTTCTCTTCCAAAGGTCCTGAATTCAATTCCCAGCACCCACATGGCAGCTCACAACTGTCGATGCCATCTTCTGGTATGCAGATGGACATGCAGACAAAGTACCCATATACATCAAAAAGAAAATCTTTAGCTGGGCATGAGGGCACATGACTTTAATCCCAGCAGTCAGGAGGCAGACATATCTCTGAGCTGGAGGACAGCTGGATCTACAGAGCAACATAGAGAAACTCTTTGTGTGTGTGTGTGTGTGTGTGTGTGGTGGCGGGGAGGGCAGGGTCGGGTAACCTAGAATAACCTTGAACTCACCTTAAAAGCCTGATCCTCCTGCCTCCACTAACACAAGAGGCTGGGGATGTATGTATAGGCAGAATGCTTGCCTAACATGCATAAAGCCCTGGGCTTAACCCCCAGCACCTTACAAAACTAGGCATAGTAACCAAGAGTCTGTAATCCATCACTTGGGAAGCACGATATCAAAAATTTCAAGTTATCCCTATCAAGTTTAAGTTGTGAGGCCAGTACGGGCTGTTGGAGATCTGACCCAAGATAAACAAACAAAAACCTAGGCAACTGCCAGGCATGGTGGCATACACATACAATCCTAGCACTCTGAAGGCTGAGGCAGGAAGATTTCTGTGAGTTCGAGGCCAGCCTGGTCTACAAAATGGGTTCTAGAACAGCTAGGGCTGTTACACGGAGAACTCCTGTCTCAAAACCGCCACCCACCAAAGAAGTCATGCAATGGTAGTGCATGCCCTTAATCCCAGCACTTGGGAAGCAGAGGCAGGCAGATCTCTGAGTTTGAGTCCAGCCTGGTCTACAGGGCGAGTTCAAGGACAGGCTACAAAGATGCAGAGAAACCCTGTCTCAACACTCCCCCCCAAAATTAAAAAGTCAAGGGAGGCTAGGCATGTGGCATATGCCTTTAATCACAACATTCGGGAGGCAGAGTTCTCTGTGAGTCAGAGGCCAGCCTGGTCTATGTAGCCAGTTCCAGGCCAGGTGAGACTATAGGGTTATTGAGACCGTGTTTCAAATAGGAAAAGAAAATGAAGGCTGTCAAGGATGTAAAGAAATTGAACTGTTGTGCTGTTCTAACAAAGCAGTAGGTAGCTGGCAATATGGCTCAGCAGGTTAAAAACTGCCTGGAATTTAGCCTGAAGACCTGAGTTCAATTCCCGGGATTCACCTGGTGGAGAACTAAGTCCTAAAAAGTTGTCCTCCAACAACACACAATAAACACCACAGCACGTGTGTGCTGCCTTCTAGACCCCAAATAAGTAAATAAACATGGAAAGACCAGAAAGTTGTCAGAACCAAAATAAAACCAAGGAAAGCCACATAGGGAGGGAAGCTCCTTGAGAATATTTCCCAGATAACAGAAACCATCACAAAAGACTGCTAAAACCAGTCCTGTATAAAGATAAAAATAGTTCTATGACCAGGGAGTGGTGGCACATGTCTTTAATCCTAGTACTTGGAAGCAGAGGCAGGCAGGTCTCTGCAAGTTCAAGGCCAGTCACACAGAGAAACCCTGGGGGGTGGGGATAATTCTACAATGTAAACCTGTCCAGAAACTCACTGATCACACCCTGGAGCGGACAGGATCCTTGGCTCCTTGGTATTTGTGGCCAAAGACTAGTGTTTAAAACACAACTCTTTCCCGTTTACTTTCAGCATGCTTGTCTTCCTTGACCTCCCTACGTCCACGATGGTTACTACTCTACTTGCGATTCCCGGCTATTGCAATCTGCTGTTCTGGAGAGCAAGCTGACACTTGCTGGGAATGTAAAATGTACAGCAGTTATGGAACACGGTATGGTGGTTCCTCAAAAGCTTAAAATGCAATCCTGCTATGGGTAAAGTTATCACTCATCATTCAGACTGGAATCTTGGGTCGTAAGAAACTCAGTGATTTGTCCAAAGTTACACATCCAATGACTGATGTCAGGAGTGAAGTCATGAGGGCAGGCCTAGCCTACGCTGTTAGTCACTCAACAAGTGCTTACTGAGGGAGTAAGTCTAAACAGCCCTGTAGAAAGGTTAAAGAAGTCCCCAAGACACTATCCAGTCAAGGACCCCCAATTGATAAATGCTAGATGTAGCTGAACACAGCTAGAAAAATACTTCTACATTCTTTGGAAAGTGTGAATGATCTTATTGATCAGTATGGAGAAGGGAAAAAAAATCAAATCAAACAAAATAACCAGAGATGCTCATTCATAAAGATGCTGTATAGATACTAGGCACATTTGAAAATAAAAGAGAAAAACAACCCCAAGAAAAGTAAGTAAATAAAAGTAGCATGCACTGCCTGGGAGCCAGGTATCAGCTGGTTTCAGCTAGATACACAAGGACCTCTGGGGTGGGGAGGAGACAGCAAACATCAATAAATGGTCTGAGCATTTTACTTAGAAGTATAGAAGAAAAATGAAAAAAATTAATTCACACTCTTCACTCTGCGCTTGGCTCCCAGACCTCATGAAAGATCCTAAGATGTGCACCTAATAGCTAGAGCCGGCGGGGTGCAGAATGCTTCCCTAGCATGTCCATGGCCCTGGACAGGGTAGTGAGGATCCCTTAATAAAGGTGGTATATGTTAAGGCTGATCCTTGACGCTTTGCTATTGATAACTGCAAAGTTCACCAACCTCTAGATTTCGTCTTCATCCAAGCATTTCATAGCTACCGGCAAACTCATGCACTTGGTGTGGTCAATAAACTATGGAAACTAACATTTATTTCACATGTCATGGGACTTTTTTTCAACCATTTTGAGCACTCATTTTTTAGATCACAGACCATACAAAAACAGGTGCCAGGCTGGATTTGGTTCAGGAGCTACAGTGTACCAACTAGTCATGAACCAAAAGCAGATAGGTGAAAAAAAATCCCGAGGTTCCCAAGAGCCCATGTCAAATTAGCACTCCAGTCACTGCCACACCCAGAGCCAACTGCTAACTCTAGACTTTGCCATCACACCAGAGATAAATTCAGGGTCTCAAGAACACTCTATTTGGCAATGCTGCCAACTTTAAGGAATTTGGTTTGCTTGCTTCCTTATTTCAATCTTTATTTTTGAGACAAGAGTTTCACTGTTACTGACTGGTCTGGAACTCATCTATATGAACTCAGAGTTCACAGAGCTTGCCTCTACCTCTCAAGTGCTAGATTACTGGCACAGGCCAAGCTCCCTTGTTTCTCTTTATGTATACTAGGGACGTAATCTAGAGTTTTCCCTTGCCATACCAAGTGCTCTACCATTAAACTATATCCCTGGTTCACTTATATTTTGAGACTGGGTCTCATAAGTTGTACAGGCTGGCCCCTAGTGTCTCCCTGGCTGCTCCTTTTCTTTCTACCTCAATCCTAAATTCCTCTTCCTATTTACTCTCCCTGACCAGAAGGTCTGCCTATACCTCCTCCCATGCTATTGGCCAGTCAAATAAGGTAAAACAGCAACACATCTTTACACAGTTAAACAAATATCACACAGCATTTACAGCTGGGCGGTGGGGCGCATCCCTTTAATCCCAGCAGAGGCAGGTGGATCTCAGTGAGTTCAAGGCCAGCCTGGTCTACAAGAGCTAGTTCAAGACAGGCTCCAAAGCTACAGAGAAACCCTGTCTCAAAACAAAACAAAACAAAACAAAAAAACAAAAAAAATCATTTGTATTTATCTTTGGTGCTGGGGTAGCACCAAGGGCCTAGCACATGCTAGGTGTGTGCCATTACACTATGATATATCCCTGACCCAGAACAGAGATTTCAAACATTGTAGCAGGACTAATACCTTAGGCTAAACAGCTGTGAATGAAAGCTCCCTGAAGCCTCATTTGTATTCAAGATCCTGTATGTGTCTGGCTAACTACCACACCATGATTGAGAAATGGGATGTTGAAAGACAGCCAAAATTCTCTTGAGCTCTCTTTTGTGCCCTCTTCTCAAGAGCTGGGGATTGAACTTGGGCTGTGCACCTGGAAGAGACACTGTCTCACTGAAATACAGCCCAGCCCAAGTCCACTTTCTTTTCTCTTTTGAAAAGGTTATCCAAGCTGGCCTTAAACTCACTCTGCAGTCCAGGCAGGCCTTACTCTGTACTTCTCCCGCTTCAGTCTATGCCACAGCCTGACCTTTAGTGTCATTTACCATCAACCCCACATCTGTCCTAACTTCCTCAGAGATCGTGAGGCACAGCAGAGCTATCCCTCCCTGCTACCTGACACTCCAGCCAGTTATCTGGCAAATGAACTCATCTATGCCTTTATTTTGTTGTATGATTTAGAAACTTCCATAAGACTAGGAATACAGTGACAGAATGTTTTCCTGGCAAACAGGACACCCCTTGTTGGATAATCCCTAACACACACTCACCACCACCACCACCTCATTACTCAGGGTAATCTGCTCCAGGACCTTGGCCATAATCAACACAGATTAATTTCTTTTCTTTTTAGCAAAGTTTTATTTATTTTATGTATGAGTGCTCAATCTGCATGTACACCCTTAAGCCAGAAGAGGGCATCAGATCCCACTATAGATAGTTGAGCCACCAAGTGGTTACTGGGAATCGAACTCAGGACCCCTGAAAGAACAGCTAGTGCTGAGCCATCTCTCCAGCCCCAACACATAATAATTTTTATTATTTCCCTGGGAACAAGAACTCTTTGGGATCTAGGGTGGTGAGTGTTACTCTATCCAGACTCACCCAGTTGGAGAGCAGAATTAAGGACACTTAAACCCAGTGGAAAGAAAGAATCAAGTTGCTCTCTTTTAACTACTAAGCAACCATTTCATTGAACAGAGTATGTAAGGAAAGGTCCTTGACCTGGAAGATGGTAACAAGCCTCGTAAATCAGTACGATTTCTCTCTCAAAAGGAGAGTTAGGATGGCCAAACTATGGCTCAAGAGAAATGACTAATGATAAGAGCACCAACTTCCCTTACAGAGGGCGGGGTTCAGTTCCCAGCACCCCACAGGGCAACTCACTTCTCAGTAATGGGGGTGATCTGAATCCCTCTTCTCATCCCAGGCACACAGATAGATAACATACATACACACATGCAGGCAAAGCACTCATAGACATAAAAAAAAATGTAAAAAAGATTGGGCAAACTGTGAATAGGCAATTAAAAACATAACAAACATATGAAGAATGCTCAACCTCACAAATAGGCAGAGGCAATAAAACTAGGTAACATTTCATGCACACTTGGGGCTACAACATCCCCTATCATGGATGGTCAAATGAATGGACGCGGAGCACATGCACTTGTGAAGTGCCGATGGGAACCAACGAGAGGTGCTTTTACCTCCAGAAACCGCTCAGCAATGAAATATAATAACACTGAGTACTTTTTTTTTCTTTCTGAGACAGGACTTCCCCGCGTCCATTAAAATGTCCTAGAATTTGCCTGTCTCTGTCACCCGAGCGCTGGGATTACAAGGATGCCACACCACAGCACCCCCCCAACTCCAGCAGCCATCCTTCAAACATCGACCTCCTGGGCTGAGGAAGCACTTTCCCCGCCTAGAGCCTCAGGACCAGCGCAGAATAAAACTTTGCAGAAATCATCAGGTGAAGAAGCCACGCCCACAATGTTTTGGACCTGAAAGTATAAGTCGTTTTGTGTGACCACTCCCAACTGCTTCGGAAGGGTTTGTCACAACTGGCCGCGGCCAGAAGCAGCGGCAGGGGCGAGCCGGGCGAGCGAAGATGGACTGAGAGGCCCTG